GGGGGAAGAAATAGGAGAAAGTTTAAGGGAATAAGGAGCATAATTGGTAGGTACAAAATAGACAAGGGGAGGTTATGAACAGTATAGGAAATGGAGAAGCGAAAGAGCTTATATGTATAACCCATGGACATGAACTTAGGGGGGAATGCTGATGGAAGGGGGATTCATGGTGGAGGGAGATAAAGGGGAGAAAAAATAGGAAAACTGTGATAACACAATCAATAAAATGTACTTAAAAATAAATAAAGTACAGCATAGGGAAAATAGTCAATAATATTGTAATAACCACGTATGGTGCCAGGTGGGTACTGAAAATATTGGGGAACACTTTGTAAAGCATAGGATTGTCTAACCACTGTGCTGAATGCTTGAAACTAATTCAAAATAATATTGAATATAAACTGTAATTGAACAATAAAATTTAGAAAGCTTGTTAAAAAATAAAGACAGATATCAAGTAGTGAAAAGACATGGAAGAACCTTAAATCCATATTGCTAAGTGAAAGGAGCCATCCTGAGATGTTGTGAGGATAAACTGTTGTGAGGATATTTGTCCTGCATCATTAAATATTGTATGTTTGTTAAAATAATATCAATCTATTTGACTAGGAGGGACTCACCAAGACCCCAATGATATTGTTACCTGATATCAAGAATATAAATATGTAACTTTTCTAAAATCTGGAAAATTATTTTCCTAAAAAATGTGACCCAAAGATTTTAGAAAGTGGATGAGAGACATCTGTGAGAGATACTAAATATATTGAAGGTCATAGATAATAATTAATCCATCTGTATAGAATATTACTGGAAATGGGTTTTAAAGTAGTAACAGTTTACTGCCCATGTGCTTATTATATGTATCTGAAATATTATGTACCAAAGTTATTTATCAAAAAAGGAAAACATAACTATTTCTAAAAGAAAATACTTATCTGAAACCATTATCTACCAAAATCTCTGATCAAAAAATAAAGCATAACTCTTCAAAGGAATTAGACAATCAGGGCTATAGAGTCCCTAGATTAGAAAGTATCAGAATAAATTATAAGTAGAGCCTATAGCCTCCACCAGTAGATCCCATTCTTTGCACTTCTGGTCACCATCAAAAAATCAGACATAGAGACAAATTTGTACTGTCACCAAACTTCTCACTCTCCTTCCTCAGTGTCTTTTCCTCTGCTATACTTTGGTTCCCTTATTTTGTTTTCCAAGGATAAGTAGGAAAACAAGTACCTTTTCCTTTTTCATATCCAAAACCTCTAGAGAAACTCTTCAATTAACCATCGTTTTTGCTCTTAATACCTTTGGTTAAAAAGCATTTGAAATGCAGGGAATAGTTAGTGGTTTTCTTTACATATAATACTCACACATGTAGTAACATACAACTTCTCTCAGGTAGTGAGCACAAAACTGTTCAGGTAACTGACTGGGAGATTTGGGCACTTGCCTAGCATTAATCATCCAGTCGAGGTCCGCTGATGGTCAGTCATTATATTTGTAGGGAATCTATACTATATAGTAAAAATGATTCTTCAGGAAGGCCTTGTAAATACCAGAAAATCAGTGATATTTGGGAGGCTCCATTGGAAAGAAGTTAATGAGAAAACAGTCCTTTCTTCACAAATCTCTTTCATCTGCTTGGAGTCACTTTTGAATCCCATTAGTATAATGGAATTTGTAATTATCTCTTTTTTCCCCTCTATTTGGAACCCTCATTAAAGCTATTAAAGCATCTTTCAGAGGATGAAAGGGATCTTTATAGTAGCTGGTGTCATTTTCTGGACCTATCTGACCCTCTGGACCCCTCTGGACTATGTGCACGGCAGAAAAACGTCAAGCTAAAGGAGCTTGAAAATTTCAAAGTAGATGACAGAACCCAGTTTTAGGAGTTTTCTAAGAAGTGTACAATTCTTCCACATGTGGCATTGATTAAAAAATACCTCAATGGGCACAGGGTATTACTGCAGTAGCACAAATCTCTGACATGTAAAGGAAATTGAGATATTTAGCTGTCTGCGTTAACTTGGGTGCCTAAGAGTGCTAGCCAGGGGAGCAACTGAATATATTGCAGAGGGAGAGAAAGCAGCGGTGCTTCTCCCTGAGGGCTGGGCACAAGAAACAGCTCAAGGCCATCATTTTCCTTGAGAGAAATAAAATTCAGTCCTCTCGGGGCTGAAGATGTTTGACCAGCGAGATGCTTAAAAGGAGGAATAAATAGAGAGTTCCAGATTCCTATTTGTGTTTTGGACATCTCCTTGCTTTTATTTTTTTCTGCACTGAACCAGTTAAATACCTTCAGGATACTAGAAAATATAGGTAAGTAAATTAAGATATGCTTAGTGAAGACATATAGAAAGGAAACCAGGAAAATTAATTCAGGAAACTGTAGAATAGAAGCTGTTCATTGTGGAACTGAATCTTCAGGCATTTTACTTAACCTTGACCTATGATGTATTGGATGTAATTCTAACTCCAAACTTGACCTGCAATTGTATTATCTCTTGGTGCTCTCTTATTAAATGGGTTCTCTGCAGAGAACAAAAATATGCATTTTTCCACTTCGAAAATGTTAATGCAGTGGCCATTTTTCTATGACATGCAGATCTGAGTGTTGTCCTTAGATGCATTAAATTTATATTTTAGTAGTGAAAAATGGCTGTTACTAAACAAGTTTATTAAAGATTACACACCCATGTACATATATATGTGTGAGTTTTTTTCCATAGAATTTACTGAATATTTATTATCTATCAGGTGCTGGGCTAGGTGCACATGAAGGACTTGAAACTCAGAGATATTAACTCTCTTCTCTGTATAACAAAGGTGTTACATTAGTAATGGGGCAAGAATACCCTGTTTCTAAACCCAAATATCCTTCACTATGTTAAGCTCTCTGAACCTTATAAAAGTAAAATGATAGTTTTAGGGTAAAAATTACCAGTTGGTACCATGTGCTCAGTATAAGAAAATAAGTCATGGCCTTTATGGGAACCTTGAACCAGTTCAAACTCTGTGTAGTGGTTCATAAGCCTAAAATCCAGAATATGACTTAGACAATATTTGAATTCATTGCTACGTAGTCCTAGAATCACACTATTTGTATTAGCACACACTGCCCCATGCATATGGAATGATTCAGTCAGAATATTCCATCAGTAATATTATAAAATAATGCTACAAGGAGCCTCAGGCCTATAAGGTAGATAGCCATAAATGATTATGCTACCGTCAAGGAAAAAAGAAAACTAATAAAAACAGATCACTGGTATCTCAAAAGATCACCAGTAGAGTTTGAAGAAAAATTGCAAAGTTTCTTTTCCTCCCTTCCATCTTCATTTCTGCTTTTCTTTCCATCACTTAGGCTCTTCCTTTCCCCTTCCTTAATGTCCTTATGGAACCTTGCTCACTATAAACCCCATCTTTATAACCGCATTACACACACACACATGACTCTGCCATAGACCTGGGTAGGTGTGTTCCAAAATTATCTTTTCTCTCACTCCCTAAAGCATCAACAGTCCATTAAAATTTTAAACAATTAATTTTATCTATATGTTAAGTGGTTAAATGATTGGTTTATGTAATAAAAATAGATCCCTAGACTTATGCATAGGAACATGTTATTAAATTGTTCTGAAAGAATTACATCCCAACATAAATAAAAGTATAATGGGCTGACCATTTGAGTATTATATATTCTAACTCATAACTCAAAAAATGTAGTCCAAATATTTCAACCATATAAAATGAAGGATTAATATATTGAAAGCTTAATAAAAATAGAAGATAGTAAAATTATACTGTACAATGATTGCTACCCTGAACTGCAGTAGAATCAGGAGATGAAGAAGTCATTCCTGAAGTCTGCACACCACCTTAGAAAGTGAGAAATTTAGCTTGCTTTTATTTGAGAATAGGGACTGCAGGAAGAGGGGAGCCACTTGTCATCCATTTATTTTGTATCTATGTCTCTACCTTTGTTTATATCTCTATGTGTTTATATGTACATACGCACATATACTGCCTATCTTAATGTCTTATCTCCTAGTCTGACTTTCCAACCCAACATCTCCTTTCCTTTTATCTGCATCTTTTGGGAACTACGGAAAAAGAGTAATCAATAAATTACCTTCCCTTTCTTTTATTGAAGGGCTATGGACCCCTGCTTTATAATGTGAAAATATTGTTTATTTGCTGCTGTGGTAGCCTTTGGAGATACAAAGTATATTGTCTCATTTTCCCTCAGTAACCAAAGTGGAATAGAATGATTTTCCTTCATCACATGCTAAGCATGTCCATTTAAGAACTCACTTCAGTTTGGCATTAAAAATAGTTTTAACATTAATCCCACAATTTTATGGGATTGGAAGGCAAAGATCAATTTAACTCACTTGTGTGTCTTCAATGCCTACCCCAGAGCTCAGCATCAAGTCAGCAGTCAATCATTGTTGAAGAGGGCATATGTACAATATTGCTTGAAATACATTTTGTCAACACCTAGTCTCTCCCTCTTCCATAAGCAGTATAATTCAATTTCACATCTGTCTGTTTTACTCAGGAATGTAATCAGTAAACTTTTTGATGTCATTTTTATATATAGTTTTATTTTTATAGCTAGTATTGGATGGTCATTAAGATCATAGCTTTCAATCTTACCCTACCAGACTTTAAATTCACTGGGACCAGCAAGTGGCTAAATGAAGGTCTGTGGGACACATCCTTTTCTTCATCAGTAGGAATAGCATTATCTATGTCACAGATTATTGTAAAAGTATTTTCAACAGGCTATTGTGAAGGCTTAATATTAATATAAAATATTATGACACATTAAGAACTTATGAAATATTAACTACTATTTTTTTCAGGATAAAATATTTAATTCTTCCATTGAAGGAGTCAGAGTGGACTTTTAGGTTAGTTAACCCATCTCATTATTCTTTTATAGGGAAGAATATATTGGGAAAAATATCTGACCAGCTATCATCCAGTTTAAGGTGATGTTCCTGAGTCTTCAGTCAGCCCTCTGGTCTTTCATTAAAGGTACCAGGTCTGCAGTATGCAGCAACAGATAGTGCATTCTTTTTACAATCACACTAATCCCCAGGATATGTGGTATGCCCTGATTGGAGTTCCAGAACTGGAAGATGCACACATTTGGATCTCCATCCCTATCTGTTTTATGTACATTGTGGCTGTCATAGGCAATATCTTCCTAATCTTCTTGATCATGACCCAGTACAGTCTCCATGAGCCCATGTATCTCTTCCTTTCCATGCTGGCCATAGCAGATGTCCTGCTCTCCACAGCAACAGCCCCCAAGATGCTAGCAATCTTCTGGTCCCATTCCGTGTATATATCCTTCGGTAGCTGTGTATCCCAGATGTTCTTCATACATTTCATCTTTGTGGCAGAATCTGCTATTCTCCTAGCCATGGCATTTGACCGTTATGTGGCCATCTGTTACCCACTGAGATATACAACAATCCTAACCTCATCAGCCATTGGAAAAATTGGCATAGCAGCTGTGGTCAGGAGCTTCATCATATGTTTTCCATTCATTTTCCTGGTATACCGACTTACATATTGTGGGACAAACATCATTCCCCATTCCTACTGTGAGCACATGGGTATTGCTAGATTGGCATGTGACAATATTAATGTCAATATCATTTATGGTATGACTGTGGCTCTGATCTCTACAGGACTGGATGTAGTGCTCATCATTATTTCCTACACACTGATCCTTCTCACAGTGTTTCAGAGACCTTCTTGGGCTGCCAGATGCAAGGCTCTTAGCACATGTGGTTCCCATATTTGTGTCATACTTATGTTCTACGCTCCAGCCTTCTTTTCATTTTTTGCCCATCGCTTTGGGGGTAAAACCATCTCTCACCACATCCACATTCTAATAGCCAATCTCTATGTGGTGGTGCCCCCTATGCTCAACCCCATTATTTATGGAGTAAAGACCAAACAGATTCAAGACCAAGTGATTTTGCTTTTCTCCCATATCAGCACATGTTTTTAAAATAAAGAATACATCAAAAATTAAGAACAGAGTTACCATATGACCTAATCAACCTTATTTTGTATATCTATCCCTCCTAAACTGAAAACATTTATTCCATTTATTGACAAAGATATAGGCACCTCTACATTCATTGCAGCATTATTCACAGTGGATAAGACATGGAACCAACTGAAGTGTCCTTTGATATATGATTGGATAAAGAGGTGGTACATATATACAATAAAATGCTATTCAGCCATAAGAAAACATTAACTACTGCCATTTGTGACAACATGGATGGACATTGAGAATATCATGCTAAGTGGAATAAGACACAAAAAGTTAAGAACCATGTAATTTCATTTGTATGTGGAATATAAAACTGAAAACAACCAATTAACAAACAAGGAAAAAAACCCCAAAAACTCATAGACACAGACAACAGTATAATGGTTACCAGAGAGAAAGGGAAAGGGGTCAAATATATCATGACAGAAGATGATTTGACTTTGGGTGGTGGGAATACAATGCAATGTACAGATGATGTATCATAGAATTATACAGTTGAAATCTACACTGTCTTATTAACCAATGTCACCCCAAAAATTAATTAAAAATACAATAAAAATAAATTAATGATAATCTCAATTCTCCTAGAAATCCTATTATCATGTATTTTAATTTTTTCCTAAAAATGCATGAAGATAATTGGCAAAATAGAAATATATTTCAAGTTTTAACCCAGATTAACTTTTCATGTATAAAACTGGGAAGTGGGAGTGATGAGTCACTCAGATTTTTTACAGACAGTTGAAATTCTGCTGAAATAGAAATATTCTTATTGCTCTCAGTTGATATTTGGACTGATAGAATAAGGCCACCATTTTTTAGTTGTTTTTGTCTGCATCTATTTCTGAAGTTAAAATGTGAGCTCCCAAATCAAATATTTATTGAATGATTGATATCTTATAAAGTATAGTCTATGAGATGAACACACGGGGTGGGGCAAAATTGTTTACAGTTGTAAGTACAGGAAACACAGAGTTCATTCTTATATTATCATTTGTTAATTTTTATATTATTTTCCATACAAACAACTAAAAACCTATTTTGCCCCACCCTGTATAGTATATATTTATTGAATGATGAATAATACTGAATTAAAACAAGTAAAATACAACATTAAATTAACCCACCTGAAACCACATAGATAACTTAAAAGCTAATACTTTTCCCCTTTATATTGGGAATTTAGGCCCAAATTGTCAAGGAGCATTCTGATATTAACAGAGACTTCACTAGGGGACTAAAGGATTGAAGATCTTCATAGTACTCAGAACACAAAAATAAAAGCCAGTGAAAATTAAACAGGATCTTTACACAGAATCTTGTATAAAAAAGACTCTAATCAGTCCAAACGTAATTATCTATGAACTTGTCCTATACTGTGCCTTAATTCCTTCATATCTAAAAATATTTTTACAATCTCTTCTCTTTAAGGCTTATATAATGCCATGAGAATGTGAAATCTTACCTTATTTACACTTAAAGACGAAAAAAATCTTTGAGGTGCTCCCTTGATTATTTATAAGGTTAGGTTTTTAAATCTGTTTCTTTATAATATACACACACAAACACACACACATACACATGCATACATATGTGCAACAGAAAAGAAGAAAGCTATCAATAGGCTTTCCTATTTCACTTTCATTTTGGGGAAGGGAAAAGAAGACATAGAAAATACAAGTAATTTGTGTCTAGTGGTACTGGACTAAATAAACACTTTTGATTTAGCTTCAAAATATTTGGATTTTACCCATGTATTTCTAAAAATTCAAAGTTGGTATTTTTCCTATAATACTTTAGATATTTTACTGTGAAACATACACTCAATGCTATATTTCTTTATTACAATATTACTAATTAGTGCAAGTAACAGTATCTGTATTTTATGGGTGAGGAAGGTACATAGGACAGAGAAATAAAGTTATTTTCTTAAGCTCTCAGAGCAAAGGTCAGGCTTAAACAGAAACTCATATGATCTTACCTATAAGTGGAACCTAATCAACAAAACAAACAAGCAAGCAAAATATACCCAGAGACCTTGAAATAAAGGACAAACTGATAGTAACTAGAGGGGAGGGGAAAGAAGGATAATGGCAGAAAGAAAGGGAAAGATCATCAAGGAACACATACAGAGGACCCATGTGGGGGGAGGATGGAGTGGGGGAGGTGGGGGTGGGGGAGAGTGGCAGAGGCAAAACGGGGACAACTGTAGTTGAAAAACAATTTTAAAAATTTAAAAAAAGAAACCCAGGTTCATACAAATAATGTGGAGCAATTAATAATTTTAAAAAAGAAAAATGTGATTCAGATAACTTTTTTTGAGTATTATGTAAAGGGTCATATACTAACAAAAAGGTAAGTTAAAAATCAATGCGAATAGTCAATGTTAGAAATGAAAATGTTATTTCCTTGAGCTTTAGAGATCTAGATTATTACCTTGGCTTGAAAAATATGTTTTACTCACTTTAATTTCAGCAAAGAAGAGTGTTTTAGGGATCACAAAAAAAACTCTGATGTTATAAATTCTTGTTTGCCTGTTATACACTAACTGTATGAAATCAGCATTCTGTGTTAACTATTGGTTATCAACTGGTAAAATGGAATTATTTTAATACCCTCATCATTGCTTTGATAATTAAATGAATTATGTCATATGATATATTCCATATTTAATAAATATTTATTTTTTGGCTTTGATAATAATGGTAATTTTAATAAATAAATACATTAAATAACTCAGTCCACCAAACTACAGAGCCTTCCTTCCAATAATGCTCAGAAAATGTTTGGAATGGGTCACTGTTATAGAGTGAAATCACATAAAATATTGACAAAGTTGCAATAAATAAATTTCTGATTCAAGGGCAAATTCTTCAAGGAATGGAGGGGAGTAAGAGAGTAAAAATATTACAGCATGATGACAGAATATATGATTAAGCAGACTTAAGACATTGTTATGCTCACATTTGGTAATGGGGAGCTAAGAAAAAGTGCCAATTTCATATCCAGAATGTATGAAATAGGATAGGAACAAGATATGATTGAATTGACTGCCTTATTTTTAAGGAAACTTTCAGATTGAGGGCTCAAAAATTTGTAGATGCTGAAAGGAATTAGGAGGTCACTGTGCTTAACTGACAAACTCCATATGCTAAGCTGTGGTCTTGGAAATTTTGAAAGAGACTTTTCATGCTTTACTGTCTCCTTGATCACTAAAGCTCCAGCTAGTAAACAATGACTGAGGAAGACATAACACCACACAGAATGGAAATGTAGAGTTCTGAAGGGACTTAAGAAAAATGGACATATTTTTTCAGATTTTATATATACATATAAATATATATTTATATGTTATAAATACTTTATATATAATATAAATACATAGTTTATAAATATTTATATAAATATTTATAAATATTATACAAAGTCTGTCCAGAAAATATCCAGCAATGTCATATTAAAAAAAGACATATATTGAAAAAGATGCAGTATACAAGAAACATAGGACATAGGACAATGATGCCTCAGTCCCCTCTGAAGTAGGCATCTTCGGAATCACACAGTTTTCCAACTGCCATCAACTACCCTGTTGTATTTTTCTGAATCTCTTCAACAGTCTGACATCTCTTCTCTTTCAAAGGTGATTTTTAATTATGGGAAAAGCCAGAAGTCTCAGGGCACCAAATCTGGGCTATAGGGAAACTGAGTCATCTGAGTGATTTGATGTTTCACCAAAAATCCTTGCACAAAATGCGATGTATGAGTAGGGCATGTTGTGATGAAGCTACTAATCACTGGTTGCCTGTAGTTGCAGCCTTCTGAATCATCTGAATAGTTTCCACAGAGGAATGTTCAAGCTTAATGCAAAATTCGATGCAGGTTTGTTGCTCTCCTCGCTCAGTCATTTTGAATGCGATGGAAACACAGTACACATGTTCACTCACCGGTGTTTACCAGTGACTAATACAGTGCAGTTGTCATTTTTCACACATGCTCATACCAGTCCACTCTCCTTGGCTTCCAGGTTACATCAATGTTGCACAAACCATCCTCATTATATTAACAATGGTTAAACTTTTTCTGGACCGAGTGTGTATATATGTGTGTAAAAAAAAAAATATATATATATATAAACTTGAAAGATGTTTATTTCTTTGCAAAGATCTTTTTTGCCTTTTTTAGTCTTTTTATGGTTTATGTTACTATGGTTGCCCCAATTTTTCCCCTTTGTCCCCTCCTACCAAGCCTGCACCCTATTCCCACAGTCAGTCCCCAAGCCATTGTCCATGCCTATGGGTTGTTCATGTATGTTCTTTGACTAATCCCTTCACCTTCTCTCAACCAGTCCCCAACTCCTCACTCCCCTCTTATAGCTGTCAGTCTATTCCATGTTTCTGTGTCTCTGATCTGACACCTATATTTTAAATCAAGGTGTGAAGAGATGGCTAAATAAAATAAGAAGAGTCCTTCATAATGGAGAGGCTGGATAATCTGTCACCAGACTCTGAAACTCAGAGATTCAAAAGTTATTTCATCTAAGCAGATAAACTGCAGGTTTTCTCCAGAGGCAGATTTAAAGACTACATAGTCAGAAGAATAAATCTCCCACCTCGTGGTTTCTGCTCTGCCCTCATTGGCCTCATATATGGTGAAATTTATGACATAAAGCAGAAAGTATTAAGAAAAGATATCGAAGAGTATAATGAGAGTAAACCAGACCATAATATAGTGTCAAAACTACTGCAGAATACAGTTATAATGGAAGTTTTTATCCAATATAAATCAAAGAAGTGTAGAAAATAAGATAAAAAATCTGAATTTTGTTTATTAATTTTTATTTACTTGTGTACTTATTTTGAAGGTAATATGATTTTTTTAATCTATAAAACAGGGAAGTCAACAGAGTTTTACAAGAACAACATATAAATCTGTAATCTTCATGTTATGTACTTGAAATTTGCCAAGAGGGAAGTCTTGGGTATTCTCACTGCAACAAAGAAGAAAAACAAAGGAAAATTGTACAGGCATTAAGTGGTGTATATGGTGATTGGCTTAGTCTGGGTGAATATTTCACAATGTATAGTTAAATTGGGTCATTAGGTTTTACATGTTAAATATGTACAATTTTTTATTTTAAGTTTATACATGAATAAAGCTTGAGGAAAAGTCAGTAATATTTTATAGCAGCAGTAATTAATTAAAAAATGAAATAGAAAATGACCTCATTCAAACTGGTAAAAAAATGTATATGTAATGGAAATAAATGTAGGAAATGTTCAAGGCATATTGTTCATTGTAGTAATAATAATCCTATTAAAACAATTTATTAATTTAATTTCATCCCATTCAAAATACTAATATGATTGTATTGTGTTTTACTGGTGATTTTTGTTCAAAAACTTTTTTAAAATTTTTATTATGGTAAAAGCTATATACCATTAAATTTGCTATATTAGTTTTTTAAAAGAATTTTACTTTAAAGATAACATTTTTCTTATTTTTAATTAAGGTATAATTGATATACAATTGATATACAGTATTAAAATATTAGTTTCAGGTATGCAATGTAGTGATTTGATATTTACACATTAAATATTTTTAAATATGCAATGCAATACCATTAATAATATACAGTGTTGTACAACCATGACCACTATCTAATTGCAAAACTTTTTCTTCACCAAAAAAAGAAACTGTGTACCTATTAAGCATTAATTCTCATTTCCTTGGTAACCTCCAATCTACTTTATGTTTCTATAAATTTTTACTTTAGGTATTTTATATAAGTGGAATCAGGCAGTATTATTTTGTGTTTTGTTTATTTCACTCAAAATAGTGTTATCAAAGTTCACCCATATGACAGTATGTATTATAGTTTAGTACTTTTCATGGATGCATAATATTCTGTTTTTATGTATATACCACATTTTTTAATCCATTAATTTGTTGATGTATGCTTTTTTTTTTTTACCATTTGGCTATTATGAATAATGCTATGATAAACATTTATATACAGGTATCAGCTTGAATCCCTTTTTTTCGATTATTTTTGTGTGCATATCCAGCAGTAAAATTAGTAGGTTACATAGTAATTATATGTTTAACGTTTTAGGGGCTGCCAAAATGTTTTCAACAGAATTTGTACCTTTTTTCATTACAATTGGCAATATATGATGGTTCTAATTTTTTCATATCCTTGTCAACACTTGTTAGTTTTTTCCTTTTTTTAAATTACAGACATTTTAGTGGATGTGAAGTGATATTTCATGGTGGTTTTGGGTTTTTTTTATGTGCTATTGTTCATTTGGATATTTTCTTTAAATAAATATTATACAACTCCTTTGCTCATTTTTTAAAAGTAGGTTATCTTTTTGGCTTTGAATTGAGTTCTTCATGTATTCTGGATATTAACCCCTTATCAGATACATGATTTGTAAGTCATATATCTGATACTTCTCTCTTTTTATATGTTGTCTTTCCACTTTCTTGATAATGTCATTTGATGTGGAATATTTTTTAACTTTATGAGTTCCAAAGCTCATGCTTTTATCAGTTTTGAGAATCTATTGTCAAATCCAATATCATGAAGATATATCTCAATATTTTCTTAAAGAATTTTATGGTTTTTACCATTTTATTGAGCTCTTTGCTTTATTTTTTATGCATGCTGGTTTATAATGTTTATTTTAAAGAATAAATATGCAAAAATTAGCATATTTCACCACTTAAAATTTATTTTTAATTATAGTTGGTATACAATCTTATATTGGTTATATTAGTTTCAGGTGTACAATGCAGTGATTCAACACATTTCTCCCTTACAATGTGATCACACCACTAATTCTATAACTAAGAATTTAATAACATGACCAATTAGATATGAAGTTATACATTACTAAAACAAAGTAATCACAGCAGTGAGATATGACAAAACACATGTGCAGATCAAAGAGCAGACTATAGAGTCAGAGAACAGATTTAAAATTAAAATACCATCCTGGCAGCCAGGTCACTTGACCCCTGTCTCTTCTCCTCTCTCTGCTTATTGACATCTTCTTGATCACAAAGTTCCTTCACAGCGAGGACACATTTCTTCAGTTTCTTTTTTCCTGTAAATCTACATGGCCATTGTCTGAGTTCACACCTCATCATTTCTCATCCAATTTACTTCAGAGTCTCCCTGACATTAGGCTTGTTCTCTTGATTCAGGACCTTCTACAGTCTAGATTCGGTGTCCTGTGACTTCTGGCTTTTCCAAAAACTAAAATCACTTTTGAAAGGGAAGAGATTTCAGACCATGGGTGAAATACAGGAAAATATGACAGGGTAACTGATGGCAATTGGGAGAACTATGTGAGATCCCAAGGTGCCTCCTTTGAAGGGGACTGAGATGTCATTGTCCTATGTCCAGCCTTGTGTCTTGTATCTTCTTCAATAAATGTCTCTACCTTTTCATAAAAAATTAAATTAAAATTAAAATAGAATACATAATTCCTCAAAATTAGGAAAGAACAGACCACCAATTAATACATAATATTGAAAAAATTGTTTACATATTTGAGAATAATTAAATGAAACTCCTAATCACCCAAGTCCTCAAAACAAACTCGAAATGGAGCAAAAGTTTTCCTCTCTATTTCTTTCTCTTCTATTACTGTGTCTTTTCCCTATTGCTGTCTATTTCTCTTAATCATTATTTATGCCACTTTCTATCTCTATCTACCATTCTATCTCTATCTCCATTACTGTATATTTTTGTGTATGGAATAGCTTCTTAAGAATGCAAAGAATATGTCATGAAAATATGTTAAATTGACTACATAAAATTATGTATGTCATGTATATGAGAAAATGAACAAAGTTAAAAAACAAGATAAAATTATATTCAAAATATAAATGTGAAACATCTAAATTACAATTAATATTTTTTTAAAAATTAAGTATTTATTTCCCTTATTTTTGTACATGCATATGCTTATCTATATTTCTTAACATGCCTTTCAGTGAGAATCACTTCCTCATCTTTAAAATCTAACTGAAGATTCTGAGAATAATTATTCATAGTTAATTACTCCCTCAGGACCGGTCTCATCTTGCTTCCCCTGCCAGTCAGCTAGGCCCATATAAGTAGAAGTAGAAACCATATCCACAGCCCAGTTGGAAGGAAACAGCAAGAAAGGGGATGCATGGATGCTTGCTCTCAGTTCCACCTAGATAAGTAAGTATCTGTTATCTAAGATTAACTAGCTGTAATTGTGCCTAATGATAAACTGATACTGGCTTGTACCATTTCAGCAAAGCTGATTATAAACATCTCAGTTCTACATTCAGTGGCAACACGGTAGTAGCATTAAATTGCAAACAGTAGAAGTATTTCATCAAAAAAATTGGTAACTGGCACAGATCAGGGCATTTCACTCAGAGAGCTGATTGTTAAACATTTATTAGCCCTCCATGGGTTATAACTAAATGAGGGCCTTACCCTAGCATGAGAGGAAGAATCACTCTCACTCACCATTGCTATTCCCAAACCTCTGTCTGAATTCCACTTCTGGCCCTTAATCTTAATCCAAGACTCTGCTACAGACGAGTAGAATGTCAGTGCAACAAACTCGTTCCCAGATAAAGGACCCTAGTCCTGAACCCCAGCAGCATGATCACACTTAGCCTGTGAGACCCTGATGCTTTTGGTGTTGCTCTCAGCCCTGACTCCATGTTCTTGAAGGAGACACTGACCCTCTTGTGAAACACAGAGAAGCTTTCGTCATTGACCATGGATAGCAGGTAGTGAAAGTATCAACTGGTGAGTTAAAAAAAAAACATTAGAAAATATTAAAAACTAGGGGAAACTCTCTTAGTTTTCTAACATACTAATTTTTCTTTTTTATTTCATGCAATGAATATTCATTGTGAATACCTGAATTAGAGATATGTGACACTCCCAAGATCATTAGTCTATTAAATGTATGAATGGTCTTTACTACTATCATGTAACTGCTACTCATTCACTCCTGTATAAACTACAGAAAGTTACCAGATATTTCAATCCTTAATTTTTATATAAAATTGTTATCTCTATGCTTACTATCCCTGCCTTGCACTCCCTTAAATGACCCAGCTTGAGATTTCTATTCCTGCATTTTGCATGTAGCCCATATGGGAAAACTCTTCCACATATCTAACTAGATTTCTCTTTAATACACTGTGATTTTCATATCCCCTTGTTTCAGACATAAGTTTTTCATTTATTCTCAAAGAAGATGTTTTATATATGACTGTCAGGAGCTCAGAACTTAATGTACAATAACTAATAAGTGATATGTATTTTTTAGTCTTCAAGGGCTTCCTAATATCTTCAAATGAAGTCTCACTATGATATTTCCAATGGTTCCATTGAATTCACACCAGCATCATTTACTCTTGTGGGTATCCCAGGATTAGAAGCAAAGCATTTCTGGATATCCATCCCTTTCTGTCTAATGTACATCATCATCTTCATTGGAAATGGCATCATTCTTCACGTCATCAGGACTGACACTGTTTTGCACCAGCCCATGTACTTCTTTCTGGCCATGCTGGCCTTTGTTGAACTCGGGGTTTCTGCTTCTACCATGCCTACTGTGTTAGGCATTTTCCTTTTTGGCATTCATTATGTCAGTTTTGGTGGTTGTCTCCTCCAGATGTTTTCCATGCACTCTTTTACCCTCATGGAGTCAGGTGTCCTTCTGGCTATGTCTGTAGACCGCTTTGTGGCCATTTACAACCCACTGCGGTACACAGCCATCCTGACAATTCCCCGCATTACTGGGATGGGTGCCACCATTGCTTTACGAAGTGTGATGCTCATGTTACCACTGCTTTTTCTCCTGAAGGGTCTGCCTTTCTGTGGCCACAACACCCTCACACACTCTTACTGCCTCCACTCAGATCTGATTAAATTGCCCTGTGCAGACACCCGTCCCAATAGCATACTGGGTCTCTTTGTCATTACCTTCACATTTGGGCTGGACTCATTGCTCATTGTGGTTTCTTATGTGCTGATTCTTCACACAGTAGTGGGAATAGCTTCCGGGGCAGGGCGGTGGAGGGCACTCAACACATGTGTGTCCCATATCTGTGCTGTGCTTGTGTACTATGTTCCCATGATAAGCCTCTCTTTGGGCGGCATTTACCTTCACTCCTCCAGACTGTCATGGCCAATGCATACCTCTTCTTCCCACCTGTGGTCAACCCCATTGTTTATAGCATTAAAACCAAGGAAATTCGCAACAGCATTGTTCGTACACTGTCTAGAAAGAGGGGTGAGGTCTAATTAAACAGACAATACCCTGAATATCCTGAGAATACAAGAACTTGGATCAGACCTATTGACTGGATATTACCCTTACAAATGGAAGAATTCCATAGTTTATTATTGCTTATGAATGAGCTATACACTTTAGTGGATGTGGAAAAGAAAAATAATCTGCCTCCACTTCTCCCTGAGAAAAGGAAATGTCATTACTTTGAAGTAAGTGTATTGAAAGAAACAGAGGACCTGGTCTTTGTTTTCTTTTTCTGGTGAGGACACCATTTGTTTATTGAATCCTTGAATATTCAATTCATTTGTTTTTTTTCTCCCTTGGTAATAGGTAGAATGCATCCTGGGAAGTTTCTTTTTGCAGTTATGTACAGTTTAGTGAAACACATTTGTGAGCGAAAAGAATAAGAACACAAAAGAGTGTATATTATATTATAACATTTATATGAAGTTGAAAAATGAATGTAACCACTTAGTGTCAAAAACAACAGAACAGTGGTTACTTATGATGAATGTGGAGGTGAAAGAATAACTAGGAAAACACATGAGGAACTTTTTGGAATGATAGAGATGCTCTATGTTGTGTTAGGGATGTAAGTTATAAAACTGTATCTATTTGTCAAGCTGGTACTGCTAAAATTTTTTCATTTCAATATAGCTCAATTTTACGTCTAAAACTCATAATAATATTTAAAGGACTAAAATTAACAATACCAATAATCATTGGGTCACATGGTGAATGGAAGTATAGAAGATACAAGAAAGGCATAATGTTGATGTGTTAAAGCTGGATGATGGCTAGATGGAGGTTTAGGATAATGGTCTGTTTGCTTTGTACATGTTTGAATGCTTTTAATAAAAATTATTTTAAAAATACTAATGGTGATAATATTAAATCATTATTGAACATGGGCCATGACTCAGAGATAACTTTCAGTTGGTCAGGAAGGTAGGAAGGGAAGAAACAAAGTGGAGTAACCCCTCCTAGACAGGACCTGCAGTACTCAACTTTTTTTTCCATATAATTTTGACTTTCTACAAATTGCAGTGAATAGCATCATACACCAGAGTCTTGAATTATTTTTCAGTCACCAAAGTAATTAAGAGAGGTTTCTGTCTTAGAATAAATGATAAGAGTATAAGGTGATGGGTGGCATCATTTATATCTTTTTTCCTGCTTTTATCTAATTTACTCAAATTATTGAGTTTTCTTAATTTTTATATATCTATCTTTAAAAGTGCTGCATCAGTGGAATTATGAAAATGTACTAAGATATTTAAATAGTCTAGTCTTTAATTTTTCAAGGTAGCTCAGAAACCATTTGATAACAATTATTATTGGTAATCTCCATGACAAATCTATAAATTAGGTAGTGTCATTAATCTCATTATACAAATGAAGAAAATAAAAGTTACATAAATTTATCCAAGTCACACAAAAATGGTTTAAAAATTAAATAGAATGATTCATGTAAAAACAATTAGCACAGTTCCTGATAGAATTTACTCAATAAGCACTTAGATTGTATTATAGTCATATTTTCCACCAGTCAGATGAATGCGTGAATCTTACAGCCAAATTTCACCATGCATAGTACTAACGGTTCTATATTCTAATTCAAAGTTCAAAAACATCATAACTAAAGTCATAAATTTATTTGAGGAAAGCTCTGTACAATGCATCATACTAAGTGATTTATGTATGAGATATTGATATCAGTTAATTCAAATAAATGACATATGAAACAATTATAAGTAATCTTTACATGTTGCTGTTATGAAAGTGGAAACAGAGAAGTTAAGTGTCATGCTCCTAATCACAGAATTAGTAAGTGGTAGAATCCAGATTCAAAACTAGACAATCTAATTCAAAAGCTCATTCTCTAACCAATCATATTCTGAATTCTGTAATTAAAAATTCAAATCCATTTTTAAATTAAAATCTTGAAGAATATCAGGAAAATTAGAGAATAGTAACATAATGGTAAATTTGATGTAATGCTTAAGTTTAATGAACTTGTTGCCTTGGCATCCTAATATATACATAGAAGAGAGAAAGATGAAAAATAAGTCATACTGATACTCATGAAATGTGAGGTTGACAAAAAGAATAAGGCATTGAAATCTAACTGAAAGCAGCAGTCATGAGAGTTATATTTGTTTTATTTTGTGTTTTAACTAACAACTCTGATTTTTGAGGAATGATGAATGCATAGACAAGCAAGTAAGGATACCCCATGCCAAGTAGATGATAAAGGAGATTTAAACTAGAAAATGTGGCCTAAGTAAAATACACAGTTATTTGTTGTTGTTGCTGCTGCTGCTTTAAATGTAAGTACAAGGTCTCCAGCAATAGATGAATGGTTAACGAAGATGTGGTACATTCACACAATGAAATATTACACAGCAGTAAAAAATTATGAAATCTCGCCACTTGTGACTACATAGATGGACCTAGATGGTATTATACTAAGTGAAATAAGTCAGAGAAAAACAAATACCATATGGTTTCACTTACATGTGGAATCTAAAAAAATTTTTTAAAAAAACACAAAAAACCCCGGATTCATAGAAACAAAGACCAAAAGTATGGTTGTCTGAGGGGAAGGGGATGCGGATATGGGTGAATGAAAAGAAGAATATAGTCAATGGCATTGTGACAAGTTTTCATGGTGACAAGTGATTACTAGAATTAGTGGAGTGACCAACTTGTAAGATATGAAAATGTCAAATCATTATATTGGACACCTGAGACTAATGTAACTAATATAAGACTGTATACCAACTACACTTAAATAAAAAATTTAATATAGCAAAAATGAAGAATAGCCATGGACACTGTACAAAGTTGTTGAACTTTATTCTGAAAGCTATAACATGTCACTGGAAAGTTTTTCTCTGTAAGAAAGACACATGTGTGTATGTGTGTGTTGCATGTGTATAATTAAGGCAACATATCTTCTCAATGGTGGCGTAAGTTTTCTGTAATTCATGTCTATTAATTAGAACAATGGAACTCACTTTTTTCTCCTGAGTATAACATTCTGCTTAAGTGGTCTTAAAATTAGATTTTCTCTATTATCAAATTGTTAAAATTCATCTGAAAAATATTCTTAGCTAGTGGGTTGTACAGATATAGACAGCAGACAGCTTTGGGTGCTCCACTCTAATTCTAAGCTAATTTGGAGAAGTTTGAATTATGTTTAACAACTACTGGTTCTGGTAGTAGTCTTGAAAATATGTAGGAATATAAGCCTGAAACAGAAACATAATGTGAAACTAGGAAGTACTGGTTACATATTCAATTGCAAATATCCCATAAAATATCTAGTCAAAAATCCAATTTACTCAGTCATTGTGATCTTCAAATTATGAGAACCAGTTCTAAAATGAGGTCTACAAATGGAAAAGAGAAAAAAATGGGAAATTTCAAAGACAAGAGGATGCCCAAGACTCTCTATCTACTACTCCTCCCTCCCACACACAATATTGGACCAGGACAATTATAGGATAAATACTTGAATATAAAACGGCTTGAAAAATATATTTTGTAACTTCAATAAAAGTATAATTTTGAGACAATTAATAAGCAATACACAGACTGTGAACTGTGCATAAATGTGTGTATATATGTATATTCTGACTAAAGACATGAATCTAAATTAATATATTAAAAAATTGTAATTATCACTACTATATAATTCCAGAACATTTCCCAATATACCCCAATATAAATACTCCATCCCATTAGCAGTCACGCCTCATTCTGCACTGTCCCCAATTTGTAACGACCACTGATCAACTTTGGTTCAATGGATTTGACTATTCTGGACATTTCATGTCAGTGGAATCATATAATACATGACCTGTTATATTGAGCTTCTTTCAAAGAACATCAAGTTTTTAAAGTTCATTTCTGTTGTCAAAACTTTATTTCTTTTTATTGTCTGAATGAAATTTCACTGCATGGATATACTCTAGTCTACTTTTACACATGGAAGGCAGGATTCTGACCAAATAAAGTCTTTCTTAATCCCTCTCTATACATGATAAAGGTCCCCATCTTAATTCAGACAATTGCACAATTAATATAGAGATGGCCAGGCCCTTCTATTTCATATTTTCTATATTTTATTTAAACTTATTTCTACTCACTCAATGAATTTTATCACCTGTTCATAGAAAAAGCTATTCAACATCCATTTCTAACTTAGTTATCTTTTTTTTTAATGAAATGATTTGTTTCTGGTTTTCTCTAAATAATATGCAGAAGTAAGAGCCTCTTCTAAAAATTTGCTCTCTGTATTTCCTATTGCATTTTACAGATGAATACATTATTTCTATTTAATACTAGGAGTACTAAGGAACCACCAAAATAAGGAGTTACATCTTTTCTAAAATATCTTACTCTTCAATTGTTCTAATGGGTTTAACTAAATAATACCTAAGTTTTTTTATCTCTGACAATAACATTATGATTCATTGAGGTTCAAACATTTTTCACATATTTCAAAAGTATCTTAAAAATTATTGAGCAGGTCTAATTGTTAGTTACCCTCTATCTATATAAGTACAAATTTCAGAACCTGAGGAACTCAACTCAAGTCTATTTCATATTTATTCTGCAAAGCATTCATCTTATTTTCCCTGGAAAGATTTCACTTTATTTAGGGTCCATCCATTGTTTTTTTGGTGGGTGGTGGCAATTTGATAAACATTGTTTGTTCATTTTCTTGGTGTAAATACTCACTCCAGCTATGGCTGATTTTAATCAACCAACATGAAATCACTGGATGCAGGACTGGGAAGAGATGAATACAACCAGCTCTCCTGGGCCAGTATGAGCTGGTTCCAACATGTAACTGTCCTTAAATTTATACTAATACTTTTTCTAGAATGAATATAATTTTATGATAGATGAATGAGACGATTGAGTAAGACTGTTTTTTTTTCAATGCAGAAAAAACAGGTCTACTAATCAAGGCTAGACCCAATGACACACAACAAAAACA